CGCATTCGAAACGTAACCCGTTCATCATCAGTACGAACAACGCGTTCAAAGAGGTTTGTTTACGTAGACCGTCGTGTGTGTTTCTCAACGAACACTTTTTTGGTGTCTTTCTTCTTTTTCTTCTTCTTCTTTTTCTTATTCTTATTCTTTTTCTTTGTATTTTTTACTTGCCAAACAAATTATTCAATGAATTCTTCAATGATTAATGCAACTGTGACGCAAAGGTTTTTTTTCTTATTTAATCGACGTTAATTGAACTATTTATGTTCGATCATTTTCACGTGTGTTCCTAGTGTGAGAAAATATAAATTATAAAATATAAATAAGGAAAGAAGAAAAGGATTCGAGTTAATTTTATTTAGGAAAAAAACAAAAATCACACACACATACACACAAAAAAACAACTCAACAAAATAATAGGTACGATTTTTTTTTTTTTATTTCATTTATTTATTTTTTTTTCTTTTTGATATACCAATAAATGAAAAAAAAAAAATATATTAACCTATTTTTTATAAGTGTGATTAATTTTAAATATTTTTGGATATTTGTTATGATAATTTTAATTGTAATTAATTGTATAATGTCACAATTGTATGAGCATGGGGGAAAAAAATCGTTGATAATATAAAATTCAAATTTTCGTGTTACTTACATGAAAGTTTGTAATAATATCAAAATATTAACGAGAACTGTAACGATTGTCCTTATTTTCTGTGTCACATTCATAATACCTGCTTTCTCTTTCTTATAAACTATGTATATACCTTTATTAACAACTTTGTACAAATATATATTAATATCAATTATATATTTATAATAATTAGTCAAGTTAACGTTTGTATTGATGACCAATCAAAAATTCCTAGAATAAAATTGAATGACAATTGGAAAGTATATGCAAAAAATAAAAAAAAAAAGAAGAAATATAACGTAAATAATTATAGTATAAAATACAGATTACAGTTTGATTCATGTATTTTATATTTTAACGTATTCAAATATACACTAACATATTTTCACTAAACTTTCGTTTCACGTATTTTCATTTATTTTTCATTTCAATGGGAATGATTATTTGAAAAATATATATTTTATAAATAAATGTGAGTGAAAGGAATAAATGTGTTATAATTTATATGTAAGGTATATTATATTCTAAATATTATTCAATTAGATATTTATAACTAGTCAAGTTAACGTTTGTATTGATGACCAATCAAAAATTATTCCTAGAATAAAATTTGATGACAATTGGAAATAATAATAATAATAATAATAATATA